CTGTTATTGCCATTATCATTACTTATTATCACAAACTATTTATTATTATTTGCTACAGTTATTTAATATTCTTATAACGAGTGCAATGTAATAAAATGCCTGATCGTACTCTTTTTTCAAAAAAATCCCAGTTTATTAAAATTTTATAAATTTAGTCCACTAAATAACTTTTAACATATTCATTTCAATTTGCTTCATCTTCTTTCATCCATTCAGTCAGTTCACTTTTCTTTGTGTAACTAATCAGCCGATGACTATAACAAGCCTTAACTGTTGTACAAGTTAGATTTTGATTATATCGAAATTTATTGTGCATCCTTTTCGTTTCAAATGATCTCATTAAATATTGCTCGTATTACTATTATGATAAAATTCAATTTTAATCACTTTTCATTTTTCCACATAACTTTTCTTGTTGCATAAATTATTCAAATTGAAATTTTATTCATTTTAAAAGTTGCAAATAAGCAACAGACATCATTCCAGCCAGATTTCTTCCCTTTTTTTAAGGGATATGTAATTAATGGTATTGATTTTTCTAAATGAGTAGCTTACTACTTTGCTTATTTATCGCTCTCTGAAAATATAATTTAAATCATCCCAGCATCTTGCAGGAGATTTATGAGATGTAGGTGCAGATTATTAATGATAGAAGAAATACTCATGAGAATTAAACAAAACCAGAAAAGAGAAATATTTGCACAAAATAAATTATTGAAATAACAAGTACACAGTCCAGAGCTAGTAGAATGAACGCCATAAATAATCAGATAATAGCAATGATTGCTTCCACCCTAAAATAACAAATTGTGAATCAAAACTTCTGAATTTGCAATTATAAATCTTTCACTTTTTATTTTCTATATTGGAAATAACTGCTGTATAAATTGTTTGAAGAACGCGGTTGTGAAGAGACGATTAATCAGTGAAAATAATCGACAAATGAATGAACAAACTTTGTCGAACATTAATAATAAAAAGAAAAAATAATGATAAATCATTCTCATCCAAAGACATCACCCATGGATAATAAAATAGCGATCACCGTGATATTTCAACATTCGTACCAAAGTCAGTTTTCAGGAAATATTTGAACTACCGAAAATGTAAGCATCGGAAAAGAAATAGCTCTCCATGCATTCAGCATTACTTTTATTATCAGAGGTAACAATTTAAGATCAAACAACCATGCTTATTGGGATACTGAGATTGAGAATTTTATAAAGTTAAAGCAGAGTCTTTCCAGACAGTTTTAAATTTAAAAATTTTCGTTTTTCTGAATCCAGCCATTCCAAAAATTCAAAATCGTTTATCTCTGAGAAATCTAATTTCTTTTCGCCTTCCATTCTTTCTTTTTAACAAAACTATTTCCACCACACAGTTTGAATTGTTTTTTGAAACTAAAACAGGTTGTTTAGTCATGTTTAATTTAATAACACGACGACAAAAATCACTTTTGCACAAAAATGCAATGATAATATATAAAGAGTTATTATCATTACTGATGATGAAGAATCATTATTCTTCATCATCACCATAAACAATTGCTTGCTCCAGCATTCTGTCCTCGTTCATTGTTACAGCCTGCAAAATAAAACAATAATAAACAAAACTTTTAATCAATTCACTGGAATGCAATCAAAAAATATGTTGCAGTTAAAGATACTTGTTCTTTTTCCCCAAGAGGTCAAAGTTTTCCAATTAATAATCAACAAGTAGTATTAGTTGTACAACAACTATTATGCATTATTCTCATTTAAACTTTAACCTCATACTTAGTGTCACAACACTCACTTAAAAAGTAGGGATTAGCAAACAGAACTTCATGATTCAAAATCCTTAAAAAATTCTTGTAATCCCTTACTACTACAACTGCCACAAGATGAGCACTACTGGAATAGTAATCTGTTTTAAAATATCTTCATATGTGAAATGCATGCAAACAGCTTATGCTCCATCGAAACTTTACTCACTTTTAGAACATGATACTGTAATGATGTTTCGAAAATATGAAAATTTCAGAAATGGATTCAAATCCAATTGATTGGATCAATTACGCTAGCATATCCTGTCTTCCTTGAAACTAATCATGTGACACGTAAGACGTCGCAAATAAAAGTATCATAGCATTAACAATATATGTTGCATATGCACGGCTTTTATATTTCATTTCACAATCAAGAAATTTAAAATTTCATTATCTGGCACCAAAATCTTATGAGAGAAAAAAATATTACCTTCAAATCATCATTATTTGCCACAACAGTTGCATCGCCGAGCAATTTTATCTCGGGTGCTAAAGTCTCTACAGTGCCACTTACTGCAGCGTTTTCATCGTCATGAGTAGTCGATGTTACGGGTTCATTATTCGAGTCATCCATCTCAGTTCTTTTTGTTATATGTTTTTCTAAATTTAAACTGATAAGCAACCTAAGAGTGATGCTACGCAGCACAATCCAAATTTTAAAATATGAACAGATTCGTATACACATAGTAAAAGAGGGAAAAAAGCTCATTCCTATCAGAGATTATACCCCGAATAGCACTATTTCATAAAGTCCACGAAATCTAGATCACAACTATTGTGAACAATATTTAGAGACTAATTACTCTAAATATTCGACCGGATTATTTGTTGCGGCTGAAAGTGCATCGGTTTATCGACACATCGAGAAATGGCTTCGGATATAGCTATTAAATGGCTCGCATTCAAACACTTATCTCTTTGTCCGTCCACACGCTTTCGACTTTGCCAGCTAACATGCAATAGCACTATCCCGAATTCAATGATACGTGTTTTGAATATTCGGCAAAAAGTAAAATAACTGATTTAATTTTGGTAAATAGAAATTACCAATTTTGGTTGATTCAAGTTGTGCACATTCCTCATGACTGCTAGATGGTACCATAGCATTATTATCCCATTCATCGTGCCTAGAATTATCAATATGCCCATCTCTTAGCTCACTACTCCGCCATCGATTCTCCTGCCTACTTTTGTAACCATCTGAAAAATGATAAAATTACGAGCTCTGAATACTTATATACAAATACTTTCCATGAGATCATTTGAATTTCGTTTTCTTAATAATTTTTGGTTTAAGCAACTTATTAGATTCAAAAATATGCAAAATTGCTAACAAATTTTTTACTTCCAGAGATTTCATTCTTAATGATAACTCCTGTATCAAGTGCTTAATTCATCTAAATGAACACAAAAACAAACAAAAGAAGAACTTTTCAGTACACAGAATGCACATTACGGCATGTCGATATACAAATAAGGCTGTTTGGTATCTTAAACTGCAACATTTTTTTATCAAATGCATACTATTGACATCAATGATTGTTTTTATCAAAAATTCTGCATTATAACAACGACAAGATATTGATGACTGAAAAACATCGCTTAACCCATACCGGAATTATTGGCTAACAAAGGGGGTGGAAAATGTCGCGGTGCATAAAGATTTCGCGGTCCTCTTCCCATCGCTGACGAATGCATCAGCGGTGGCGGTGTTCGGAGCACCTAAAACACATTAATAAAAAAAATATTATACACATATCAAAACAATCATTTAATAATAAAAATCTTGAAATGTCAACATTACATTAAATACTCGTGAATTGTGAAGATTAAAATGAATAATGTGCTGCGAAATGATATTAATATTAAAGAACACATACCCCTCTAACTGGAGCTCCTCCGAAAGGCGGTCCCCCGCGGAAGGGTGAAAATGGTGACCTGCAAGAAGAAACAAATGCAGTAGCAATGTAAACAGTAAAAAACAGCGGTATGACAATTTCTTTTCGAACTAAAAAATATTTCGTATCACATAAAGAATGTTACAGCCACTTAGAAGAGGAATAAATGTAATTGAAAACCAGACCTTCCAGGAAATATCCCTGGTCGATTTGCTCTCATACTTACAGAGCCACAAGAGGCATTATACCTAGGAGGTGGCATATTGTAGCTCGAAGACATAAATGTATTCGGTCCTGAAATTTCTATTTTAATGTGATTCCAACAAGATACATTAGCGCAAACTTTTCAATCTTTGTGCGTTCTTTATCACTACAATCAAGAAAAATCAAGATATTACATTTTGATGGGTAATCTAATTTGCGCTGCACTTTTGATTTAATTGGTATCATACACTGTTTCAAGCTTTCCTTCTAACAGCTGAAGTTCCAAAAGCTAAGCATCCACTTGTAAACAAAATAAAAGTGTGTAGATAGACATGAATACTAAGGGAGAAAATTTTTTAAAAATAACCTGGCACACGCATCCTTTCCATATTCATTGCATTAACAGCAGCCTAAAATAAAATACTAGCTATACTATAAAAAATATAATACTGCATGAAATCGTTCTTAAACTTTCACTATAAAAAACCCCATCACTTCCTATTCTTAAACATATTTAAGGAGTTATTTTAAATTTTGCATAAAAATTGCATTGTAACAACTGCGCTTTGCAGCAATATTCGTTAATTATTTAATATATTACTATAATGAAATGTGCATTGAACGCTGCTAAAAAATAAAATGATATTTGGTTCCTCAAATTGTATCATCTTTCATCGAATGTTAACATTGCTAAGTATAATGAAATCATGCCTGTGGAGGAGTGGATGGAGCATTCGCTCCTTCGGGATCAGTTGGTATACAGTTCTGTGATTTCGGAGTTGGTGCAGCGCCAGCCAGTGGTATTTGAGGAGGTAGACCAGGCGGAAAAATACCAGGAAGTGGCACCATTCCGTGAGAGAGGAACGGAGCAGCCCCGGGTAATCGAGGCGGTTGACCAACTGAAAATTGAATTATTACAAAAGAAAATATTTAAAAAACAAGAGAACAAAAGAAAAACGCAGAGGTTTTTAAAAAATCTATTAATCCACAAACTGCTAAAAGCTTTGATCAATACTTCATGAAAAACTTACTTAGAGAGTAAATCTGATAAAATATTACGGCTAGTAAATCTGATAAAAAATATTACGTGTTTGATTATATTTATTAAGGAAAAAAACTAAAAATGAATCTTAGTTACTAAATAAATGACAAATTATTTCTTTTCAGAATAACTGACGCGGAAATTGATATGAAGGTATATTTGGAGCTACTTGTGGTAACTGAATATTTGAAGTACTTTGAACAGAAGCTGAATCTTGCTCACGTTGCTTTCCTTTCAAACCATGTTCATCATACAAATCTGTAATGGAGTTTCCCAAAATTCATTTTTCGCCTTCAGTTCAAGTCAGTTCAACGAAATGCACTTTAATTTATCTAATTAAAATCAACACATGGGAAGATCTTCAAAATAGTAATAAAAAAACTAATCAAAAATGAACTTACCAGCAAGATGAGCAGGCAATGATTCCACTTCAAGATGACCTCCTTCTATTAGAGGTTCCAAATCACCAGGTAGTGCAAAATGTGGAATCAGCGAGTAGCCCCGGTCGGGATCCCAATACTCTGCGTATCTTTCACCCTTTAGACCTTGTCCAATCCCCCAATTTAACTAAAAAGGACAAATACAAAGAAAAAAGTTTAAATCGAAGATCTTTTAAAGGAAAAAAAAACCAAAAACTACATCATTAAAAACTGCATTACTACAAATTTTCAGGCATCACTTCAGTCAAACTCTTAAGTATATCTTACCAGTTCTTTCATGCAGAAACAAAAATTAACCCCAACTTATTTATTTAATATCACAACTTACTTTGACATTCTTCTCTCCGATTTTGAAATTTTTTTGCATCCTATCCATTACCCGAAATGCTGCTTTTCTATCTTTCATCGTGACATATGCACACGCACGGGAATGTATAATGCTAATGCGTGATGGTTCTCCGGCTTCAGCTACTGCCTGACGAATTTCATTTTCCGTACAGTTCGAAGGAATCCTTCCCAACCACAGTGTACACGATGCTACTGCAAATAAAAACTGATCAATTTCGATGGGTATTTTAAAAATTAACCTCATGAAGTAATCGGATAATCCAAACTCTAACAATGCATAGTATTACCGACGAGAATGCAAAAAGGTAGAAAAATCAAAAAAATGTTTTGGAAGCTTTATGATATACGAACAAAACAACTTTTCATATTTTTCAAACTAAAACAGCTCCTTGCACAGGGAGAAATTGGTAAATTATAAAATAAAGATGAAACTGGAATTACAATACGACTTGATTTCCTCAGCCACATTACTAATCGGATTAATAACATAACCGATACAATATGAAAAACTTTCAAATGATAAGTGCAAAGAAAACATGTGGATTTAACCTAACATTGAAAGGTCTAGCATTTTCATTTGTGGATAATTCTACAAAAACTCACTCAGAAGATGTCCCTCTTTTGGTGGCCATGGAAGTCCCATTTTTCGACGCAGCCGCTCCAAATCTCTGTACTGCAAATGTTCAAAAGTTGGGAAATGTTCGATTACTGCAGATAAATTCTTGTTTAAATTTCGGATGCATTTTTTTTTTAAAAATGTATTTGTGGCTGCAATGTTATGATTGGAATCAAACATAATACCATAAAAGTAGTCAAAAGCAGTCAATAATTCAAGTGTTTAGGAGAGAAAAAATCTAACCAGTATTACTTTTTAAATAATAAAACTTACTGCTGGATTGTTATGGTCACGTTCGGATCGATCCCTGTCAAGATGCCCACGCGATAAACCTCTTCGTCCACGACTACTGCTACGTCGATGCTCCCTTCTACGATCTCCAAAGCCTTGTTCACGAGATCGACTACGTCGCGGCCGTTTTGAATGCGGATCCCCAAAGCCACGACTGTTTCCTCTATCCTCGTGTTCATGATCCCTTCATAATTATTATATGATAGGATATGCTGATATTAAAATGTGTATCATTTTGACAAAATAAAATTCATGAAAATATCAATTATCTGCCATTCTATTTTCGGAAACAGTATATATTATAAATAATATAATAGGCTACCTCGAACGACCGCGCCGCCGTTCTTGACCTTTATCATTCTTTTCACTAATTCTGTCATTTCTACCATGGCCTCGCCTTAATCGCTCATCCCGATCACTATCAAATCTATCATCTCCTTCTCTGCGATAGCGATCGTCCTGAATACATTATATAGGGTAGTAGGATGCATAAGTGGAAATTTCCATAATACACCGTTGACGTGTCATTTTTACCTTTTGCCTATAAGATTTTCGGAAAAAGATTATAGTTGCGGAAGGCAATCCGATTTCTACATATTTTTTAAGCAAGAAAAGCAATCTATGTCAAATATCATAAAAATAAAAAAACCTGGTCGACATCACTGCGATCTCGATTGCTGGCATTCGTGGTACTTGCAAGTGGCATTCCACTAGGTACTGAAGTAGGGATCTGCGGAGGCATTGCACCCAAAATATTTGGCGGTGGCATGCCTGGTGCAAACGCGGCTAGTCCGCCCGCATTAAGTAACTGAAACAGGGGAAATTAGATTACCCACCTGAAGTACACACAATCATTAGTAATGTAGTGCCTGATAAATGACATCGTTTTTTAAGGTTTATAATGTAGACATTTTTGATGTAGAAATTTTTCTACATCATAAACCTGATGTAGAAGGTTTATGATATAGAAAATTTTCATTTTTTTGCCTAATCATTATTATAATCTTCGTCATCATTGGAAATACGATGGAAAATAAATGACGGTTTGTTATATTTCTATACAGCATATCAAATTTTTTTTCCAGATTCCATAAAAAACAAATGCATATTCATCCCAAGAAAATATAATATACCGTCTATGTCGCTCTTCTTTGACTCAAAGATTACTTTCTCTGGGTTAATTGATGCTTCTAAACAAAGTCAAACCCTCTCATTAAAAAATAAACCTAGGATCAGGGAGAAATAGTGATCTTGAACTTACAAATTGTTGCGCTGATCTGGGTGATAACATGTTTGTTGCTGCTGGAGGTTGCAAAGATTGACCTGGCATCGGAATCGAAAGTGGAGGAACAGTCCCTATGTTCGTCTGTGAGCCAGTGATTGGATTTAACGGAATAGTAATTGGTGGTGCTCCCGACTGGGTTGACAGTGCACGAGCTGCAGTAGAGATACCTCCTTGTTGTTGTTGTTGTTGCAAATGTTGTTGTTGTAGCTGTTGTTGTTGTAATTGTTGTTGTTGTAATTGTTGTTGTTGTAATTGTTGTTGTTGTAATTGTTGTTGTTGTAATTGTTGTTGTTGTAGCTGCTGCTGTTGTTGCTTAACAGCCTGTACCCTTGCTGCAGCTGCTTGAGACAAAGCCGAAATTCGTTCCGTATGCATACGCTGTATTTCTTCTTTAGTATCTGGCTCCCGAAGAACTGCTTCTGCCATACTGCAGCATAATGGAAAGCATTACAGTATAATAATTTCAGACTTTTTCAGCGAGATACCTTTTAAAATTACCTATAATTCCTAGAAGATCAATTGAGCGTTACACTCTTTTCAACCAATAGTTACAACTACAAATCAGCTTGGGTTACCGTTCCAATAATTTCTTTAACTAAAACTACAACTTTTAACCCTATCACTACAATGCTATTTATATAAAAATCAACTAATACCCTATAATTTGTTGTTTCGTCAACTCAGTAGGTTTCGCTTCTATCTCTAACTTGTGGTTAAAATCATCGTCACCGCTATCATCTTCATCACTATAATCGAACTCCTTGGAAAGAAGATTCTGAAAAAGATGTATTAGGATATCAACTTTCTGCTTGTACATTATTTTATTTACAGAGAAGTTATGGTCACCATTATAACAAATATTCGATAAAAAATAATACGGTTTGTAACAAAAAACAAACTAATTTTATATTTCAGTAGTACTAGGATTTATGCCATAAGGTTTTTGCGTATGCTTTTCAATTAGCGAAGGCATTTTTCACCAATAATCAGTGAAGGCTTTTTTTTCACTCCGGAGTCATTAATAAAAGGTAGAGTGTTGAGCTTAATATCACGTTAGAAATAAACTCTCAAGAAAGTAAAAAAAGAACCTTAATATTTCCCTGTCTTTTCGAATCCAATTCCCGACGTTCGGTAAGTTTGTCATTTACCAATTTGTTGACTTTCTGCAACAATGACGAATCGGAAGTGAACATTCCACCGAGATCCAAACCCATTGTAGTTAGCATCGCAAGCGTTTCACGCTCACTTACGCCTCCTTCTACAGCATCATCACTTGGCTCACGCAAAAGCATAGGTGGTGTACGTGATCGGTTTTCCTAAAATCTGTGGTAAAGTCTCGAAGTTCTTCAAAAAGTTTCTTCAAATATTGCTTGCATTGTGTTCTTTATGAGCGGTCATATAATTTTAGTAATACAGTGAAGTGAATAAAAGCCACCCGTGCACGGACACTAAATTTCAAATATATTTGAGCTATCTATCCAGCCAAGAATTTATTCTAGATCAAAGTCTTTTTTCCTACAGATATTTTTGAAAAAATTTGCCAACATACAGATGATGGAGTGTGTGATTCCAATACTTTTCGCTTCTCACCACGACAAGGCACGCGACTATATATTGAGAAGTCTGCCTGATCGCCTTTTACGCTTTTTTCTACGATCATAACATCTATTTCTGCAAAATCTCCTCATTAGCATCCATAATTTCATTTTATAATCACTAACTTGAAATATTTATGCCTTGATATGATTTTTCTTTTTTCCAGAATTGTTTTTTTATTGTCTGTTAGAGGACATTTCTCTCCAGCATTATAAAATAGATATCAAATCTTAAATAAGATTCAACAATTCACGCTCTACTGTTCTTTATTGAACAACAGTGACATAACTGAGAACAGTTACATAACATGCCAATCTTAGTAATTAAGATTTTAGAAAAAATTATGACAGCTAGAAAGGAAAAAGAAAAACCAAGTCCATGAACATCTCGGCAGTATTCCAGCCATGGTCGTAACTTTGTTGCATCGAATATTTCATGACTTTTCCACAGATTTAAAACTCGAACCACTTTCAACTGTAAACAACATTTAAGCTATACAATTGGAAATTATCGTGAACATGGAAAAAAGGGGTAGTAAAGTTATAGAATATAACACTTAGTAATTAGAAAAAAAATGTCAACAACAGTAACAGAAGTTCTAACCGCAAGTACTACAAGAAAAAGCTTAGCAATAAAGAATACAAAAAAAGAGCAATCATATGCAGTATAATGCCTTATCTCAATAAATTGTACATTAAAAATTAATTAAAAATCCATGAATAACCTTATCGTCCGCCTTACAATTCAACAAATTCGAAAGAGTTGCTTGCATATTAATCGCAAAACGTGGACCAAAAACATCTTTATCTTTAAACTGATGACGCGATTGTCGTATTATAGAATCGATACAATACAGACCAGGTATCTTATATTCTGCTTTGCACTAAAAAATATTTTGAAGAGGCAAAAAAGAAACTACAAAATATGAATTCATCCAACAAAGAAATGCTAATGAATGATCCGATATATTAAATGGATTTGCGTCGATGATTCACTATATTATGTTAAGAAAATGCTTCCAGATTCTGTTTCATTTTATAGCTCCTTAAAATAACAAATATTATCGCAGATACTACCCTCGAAAACATCAAATTCTTCATCAAAAATTTTAAATTCTATAACCTTCATTAAAAATTTTTCGACTCCAAAGACGACGTGCTTGTAATATTTGATAGCTTTCATTGCTGCCTTTGTGATATCCACAATCTTTTTCTTACTTATCGGTGGCCGTAATTCATACAAGGATACCAACTGAAAGATATTTATCTTTCATTACATCATTATACTGTTAATTTCAAAACTCTTACTACAGCAAATTCTTTTTTGCAAATAAGATGCATACCCAGACTGATACCATTAAATTGTGTGTTACCTCCGACCCTCTAGTCAAGGCTTGATTAATATGAAGTGATAATACAATCATCTTGATGTAATATGATGTAACAATATGCTTTGTCTGCACTGTAAGAAGTGATAGCCATGCTAGCATTTTGAGTTACATTATCACTTAGAGCATTTGAAATGACAGTACAAACCATTTCGACATCATAAATAAAATTATATTACCATTAGCAATAAGTTATCGATACCTTTTTAAAATATGGAATAATGTCATACCTCAGCATTAAATGCTCTTACAACCTCTGTCTCCATATTTTTCTTCAGTCTTCCTTCAATTTGAAGTTAAAAAATTTAAGCACTCATTAAAACTGAACTTTCAGGCCAATATTTCCGGTAGATATAATTATTCTTCCTGAAATTAAGCATTATTTATTTCTACATACTCATTTTAACGCATTTCAATAATAAAACTTACAATACAATTCACAGATAAAGGATGAGGCCTATCGCTGTTACTGAAAGTGAAATCGATTTGAGAAAAAGATTTTGAAAAAACCCCTACCATAAAATATGGAACGAAAGAATGAAAATGACACCCGCCCGACTCGACACTGTCCTTCCAGGCACGCCAAACCGCGAAATAAACTTCATTTCAGACCACACCGGATCTGTGTGAAATTCCACTGAATCATTAAATGCAACTTCTGGTAGGAACATTTAAGGACATCGTTTTTGAAGTAACCGTCATTTGACACCGAATGTTTGGATGATATATTAGAAGGATTAAATCAGATTCTGATAAAATATGCATTTATTGCTTTGTACATACATATTCCATAATGAAAATACAGTGTACTGACTGTTGTCATGTGGTTAGTACAGATTTAGATTTAAATTTATACAGATTCTTAATTTAAAGTGATACATATGTGGTATTTCTGCAGAATCTGGAATTCATATCAATAATATTCATTATCACACAGTACGCACACTGATCAAAAGTATGCTCTATCCGTACACAACCAACAATGTTATTGTGCGGAAACGGAAATGACCTTATAAATAATAATATTCTTGTTCTCTGTCATAAAAGTCGTATGTTCTCGGTCAAATGATAGGATGTACTTTGTATATTTTCTTGGTTTAGAATTTAAGAAATACAATTCCACTGTGACACACAAAGCTATTCCTCAAAAAGAATCTCATAAAAAAACTCCAACAACATATTTTTGATGCCACGAGCCGAGAAATGTCCACAATTGTAATCGAAGATGCACAACCGGCAAAAAAAAATTGAAAAAACTTTTTGAAGTTGAAGGATCATTAATTATTAATATACTTATAATTATGTTTCTCGTTACATTGTAATATTAAGCCACAAAATATTTGACTTTTCATTTTGTTTCGATCCTATCTGAAATGATTCTTTCCGTTTTTCTATACATTTAAAATAATTTCGAGCAATTCTGGTCCTTCCATGCATTTCAAATCATTCTGGCCCCATAAAGTTTTAAATTGTGATGAAATTTGCAACATTTTATAAAAATTTTCTATATTTTGGAAAAAAAATATCGAAAATATGGAACAATAGCATAAACAAATTCAAACTACTAAAAAATAGAAATCAAATTCAAAAGATTGTTATCACTTTATTTTATAACACACTATTTTAGTTATATTTATTACTTCATATCGTGTATTATTCAATTGTCTTTTTTAATATTTGCATCGCTGTATTGGCTGCAATATAATATAAAGCATAACTTATGATGATTTTCTGAACATGCACCTAAATTCTGATAAAACTTTGTAAATATCTTTCCACACTGATATAATTGTTACATTTGTATAGTACCGGGTTCAATCGTACGGGTATGCGTTACATACAACCGTTGCTGGATGTTGCAATTCTCGTTAAGGTTAAATTGGTCTCTGGAAATGATATTCAAAAAAGGAAGCCATTTGGATGGTAAACGTTTTCAGGAACATTTAGGCTAGAAAGCAAGGGAGATTGACATCAATTAACGATGATTGGGTGTGTTTTTCGAGCTAACATTACGAATTTCAAGAGTTTGGCGAGAAATAAAAAATGACAAACTATATATGTGAATGGGAAACAAAGTTAAAAAATTTGTGGTTTCTGCAATCATTTTTCCTTTCACTCTCGAAGATGATCTTTGAAGAAAAAAAAAGATAGTAATAGAAATGATAAGTTTAGTGGTATGAAAGGAAAGAGCGATGAATCAGAGTTTGGTGGACCACACCCTTTGAAATATTTCGTTTCCTTCCATTTCTTCCAATCTTTCTTTTTTTCTCCCAACCAACTCTGATTCATCGCTGTTTCCTTTCATATCACTAAACTTATCATTTCTATTACTATCTTCTCTTCTACTAATACTTCAATCATATCCTTGTCGTTCCTTTTTCAATCAAAGCTATGTCATTTCATCTTTATCTTTAGGCTATTTTCACTTCCACTACTCTTTCAATCACTCCCATTTATCACTTGCTATTTCACTCACAAATTTTTTGCAATCGAAAGTTCACA